GTTAGAATGCAGCATTGCAAGCTAACTCTGCCCAAAGCCAGGAGTTCCATCCTGATCGGATCAAAGTTGACTCAGCCTTCCATCCTTCCAAGGTTGGCAAAACAAGGACCCAGATTGCTGGGGGCAATATGCTGACTCTATAAACTGCTTAGCCAGGGCTGTGAAACACTATTAAGCGATATATAAGTTAAGCGCTATCGCTATTGCTGATGCTTTCAAAAAGATCCCTACCATGGAATTTACATTTTTCCAAACTCTTTTTCCTGGTTAGTTCCAAACAACCAAGACTCTGTCCAATGTATATGTGAAGTTTGAGAGGTTTGTCCTAATGTCTATAAGTTTATACTGGGACCCCAGAGATTCAAAATCAAGTTTTTGTTTTTCTGTAAAATTACAAAAAAAGTGCCTTATAAGTAATGCTTAAAATCAGAAATCTGGTATCATGTTTTCTGACTTACACATTTTATTAAAAGTCATATTTTTATGAACTGCAGCTCACTTCATCATATACATAAAGTGAGTAGACTGATGTAGAATTTAAATTAGAAAAAGATGAGGGGGCGGGGAGAAGCAGCCAGGTTGGTTATGCAGAGAAGAGACAAATTATCAATTAACAATTGTAATGTGTTAAAACCATTGTATTTGTTGTGATCTTCTGAAAATACCTGAAACCTTTTTATGTATGCAGATTCCGTAACATCTCACTCAATGGTGGGGTTAAAGTTCCTATAATCAGATTATGCAACGAACCCAGATGTCTATACCAACAGCACTCTCACAAGCCTTCAACTAGTACAAATACAAGATCAGAGGCACCTTTATACACTCTTCCTCTGATGTGATGCAAGCTGGCTGACCGGCCGTACTCAGCGTGTGTTCCTCAATGGAACCGCATCTACATGGAGGAAGTGTATGGTGGGGTGCCCCAGGGCTCTGTTCTGGGCCCAGTGCTCTTCAACATCTTCATCAACGATCTGGATGAGGGGATAGTTGGGGAAACCATCAAATTTGCAGACAACACCAAGCTGGCAGGAATAGTCAACACTCCAGAAGACAGGCTTAGGATAAAGGAGGATCTGGACAGACGTGAACACTGGGCGCTATCTAATAAAATGAAATTCAATGGTGAAAAAAGTAAGGTTCTACATTTAGGCAAGAAAAACTAAATGCACAGGTATAGTATAGAGGGTACCTTGCTCAATAGTAGTAACTGTGAGAGGGAGCTCGGAGTCCTAGTGGACAATCACTTAAATATGAGCCAGCAGTGTGCTGCAGCTGCCAAAAAGGCCAACACAGTTCTGGGCTGCATTAACAGAGGGATAGAATCAAGATCATGTGAAGTATTAATACCACTTTACAATGTCTTGGTAAGGCCACACTTGGAATACTGCATCCAGTTTTGGTCACCACGATGTAAAAAAGATGTTGAGACTCTAGAAAGAGTACAGAGAAGAGCAACAAAGATGATTAGGGGACTGGAGGCTAAAACATATAAGGAAAGGCTGCTGGAATTGGGTATGTCTAGTTTAATGAAGAGAAGGATGAGGGGGGACATGATAGCAGTATTGCAATATCTCAGGGGCTGCCACAAAGAAGAGGGAGTCAAGCTATTTTCCAAGGTGACTAAAGGCAGGACAAGAAGCAACGGATGAAAACTAATCAAGGAGAGAAGCAACCTAGAACTAAGGAGAAACTTCCTGACAGTTAGAACAATTAACCAGTGGAACAACCTGCCTCCAGAAGTGGTGAATGCTCCAACACTGGAAGTTTTTAAGAAGAGACTGGACAGTCATTTGTCTGAAATGGTATAGGGTTTCCTGCCTGAGCAGGAAAAAAATGGTTAAAAAATAATAAATGGACATAATTTTAACCCCAGGTCTCAAAATAACAATAAAATAATATCAGAGAATTTCAGTTTTGCAAGATACTTTATAGCAGACCTCAGCTGATTATTTTGGAAAAATGGGACTTTAACTCCATCATCAAGAGGGAGGTTGCTGAACTCACACATCAAAAGATTTCAGACAATCTCAGATAGTTTCAACAACAGTGGGTTTTTACATATTACAATTATTAATTGATAAGGTACTGTTAATGAGTTTCATATGTAGTCTGTCTTCCTCTCACTTCCTGCCTCTACCTACATCTCACCCCAATTATATCAGTTTAGTCATTCTAGGCATCTGATGAAGTGAGCTTCAGTTCGCAAAATCTCAAGCCTTTTAATAGAATATTAGTCAGAAAAAAATGCTAACAGACCTCTGTTTTTTGCTACCACTAACTAACATAGCTCTCCTCCTACAAAGTTAAGTAGTGCTTAAGCAATTGACTTCAAATGGCTGCTATGGGATAATAGAACATAAAATAGTCTAACAAAGAATACTCTAGAAAAGCAGTTTGGGGTACTGGGAATCAATTACAAAACAGAAACATAAAAGCCAGGAACTCCATGTTTTACATAGTAATATGGAGGAATTAATGTTTTGTATCCCATAATACAAGCAGCCACAGACTGCTTGTATTATGGGCTAATCAGAATTTAAAAATAACATATAAATCTGTTTTACAGATAAACTGGGCCTCACAACATTATTACTTTGGATCAACTCCATTTCAAGGAAATGGAGTTTCCTTGTTTTTAAACTATTCCAAAATTAAAAAGCAAGTTTATACATCTGAGACAATGCATGGACATTTATGCTTTTTAAGTTTTTGTTATTAGGTTTATTTAGGATACATAATATTGCTGCATCAGAAATTCCGTAAAGGTTGGAGGTTTTGGAAGAATTGTGGAGAGGAAATCCAGTCTTCTCTTCATATAATCTTTTGTAATTCAAAACCACAAATTAAAATAGACTCTAGACAAAAATCCTAAAATTTAGACAAAAATCAAAATGAAAGCCAAAACCTAACTGGGTGAACATTCTTCCCTGTATGAAGTCTAACTTGTGATCTGCTTCATCAAATAAGAAAAAAAGTTATTTCACCCAAAGACCTTTCTAATCAACAACTGTAAACAATCAAAGACCACAGCTCAGTAGGGTAATTACAAAAGATGCCACTTCCTGTAAAGCCACTAAGTATATTTTCTTAGAATTCCTAGAAGGTGTGGTTTGGCGTGCTTTCAAGAAACTATATAAAGAACTAATGAGAGAAAATCAAACCATGGCCATATCTGACAGCTGATTTTGATGTGTTGTGCTCACAGAATAAACTTCACCTCTGATTCAGGCAACTGCCTCTGTTCTTTATTCCCAGCTCGGAAATGAACCTGGTGAAGATTTCTTTCTAACAGAATTAACTGTGTTTCATAATCTTGTTTGTAGAAAGTTGAGGTCATATGACCTCCAGATAATGAGCTTGAACGTTCTTCCAGGCCAGCCCAATGGTCACCTTAAATGCCAGAAAATTAATTTCCTAGAAGGTATAATGCTTTACTTACATCCAGTGGTGGGATTCAAATATGTGAACAACCAGTTCTCTGTATGGATGCAGCTTCCGGAAGTCCATTCTGGACCTGGGCAACAAAAAATTAGCTACTGGTTCTGCTGAAGTGGTGCGAACTGGCTGAATCCCACCACTGCTCATCTTCTTTGGAAAAGAAAATATAAACACAGAACCTACAGTTTTTATTTTTGTCTTCTCCCAGTTGGATAAGTAGTTGGATAAGTTTTAAAAAAAAAAAACTATAGCAATTTGTAAATCCGAAGGAGGTCATCACCGAGACTACCAGACTGCTTACTAAATTTTAGCTTTTCCTGTTAAGAAAAAAAATTCTCAAAGCTATAATAGTGCATCTATCAATGCCTGTGGCATTTATATAACTACATTTTAAGTAGCAATCACAGTGCCTATAAAATACAACTAAGGGAAGAATTGCATTTTTTCCAAAGACAAAATGTAGCTGTGAGTGCGAAGAAAACACTATTTTGCTGCATTAAGTTTTTACTGAAGAAAAATTCTTAAATTTCTTGTGGATTATACATAACTACAGTACACGTTAAGCATTACAAATGGCTAGGAGAGAAAACACCATCGCTCAAGATACATTTTTCTTGCAGAATGTGCCAGTTTACTCCCTACCGTGGTCCATATCTTTAGATGATAAAATGAAGGATCAGATGGTAATATAAAAAGCTCTCTGACAATATTGAGCTACATGAATAACGATTTTGAGCTGATCTAATGTACCTTTCTTTGATCTTAAAAGAAGGCGTAAATATACACAGATGAAAAGGCTGGATTTCAAGTCATTCTAGAGATTTTATTTCATAGATATTATTGTAGAACTGAAAACATTATAAAAATTCAGTGAAAATAAGGAGTTGGAAGAAAGTTTATAGCATTTGCTGCCTTAGGAAAAAAAGAGGTGTAAATTGAAAACATAGAGATGCACAAAAGCACATATATTACGAAGAAATTAATACAGGTATTCTTTGGGTTACAATAGTTCATTTAGTGACAGTTCAAAGTTACAACCTCACTAAAAAAGTGACATGACGATTTTTCACACTTACAATTGTTGCAGCATCCCCATGGTCACATGATCAAAATTCAGACAGTTGGCAACTGATTCACATTTGTGATGATTATAATGTCCTAGGATCATGTGATCACCTTTTGCAACTTTCTGACAAAGTCAGTGGGTAAACCAAATTCACTTATCAACCGTGTGACTAACTTAACAACTACAATGATTCACTTAACAACTGGGTCAAGAAAAGTCATAAAATGGGGTATAAAACTCATTTAAAAAATCTCTCACTTAGCAACATAAATTCTGGGCTCAATTGTGGTCGTAAGTTAAGGACAACCTGTACCTGATTATCTTCTACCTGGATTATCCAATGAAGTACAACAGTGGGGAAAATTCCTTTCTTTCTACAGCATTTTCTTTGACATATCCCACATATTACGACAATAAGAAAAGCATTGCTAGCCTCATTACTGAGAAAGGTCCCATGCGCTAGCTGGACATGCACAGTGTCATTACCACTTACACAAGAATGTCTCTGTGTTCTTTTTCCTTCCCTTGCTTCAAGAAGAGAGATTTATCAAGATTCTCCTGCAGTGTTTGTCAGAATAATGAACTATAAGCAGACATGCCTAGTGATGCAGATGAATATGACACTCTTGACATGGCTGATATTTCATCCCTGGAAGAGTATGTGTTTATCACATTGCTTGCCATCCTCTCTGCCAGAAAGCTCAACCTGAGTCTTTTGGGTTGATACTACTTTGACAGTGATTAGCCCAACAAACAGGGTGACTGAAGAGATCACCTCATGAAATCAAAATCAAACAAGCCATGTTATGAGTTAGCTTGATTCCCTGTTATATATGATTGGAGCATTGCTTCCTCCTAATCCAGTTAAGGCAGTTTCAGGACTCATACAAAACAGCCATCTTTCTAGAAAAATGAACCTACTGAGTGACAGAGCAAACAGGGAGAGCAAATGAGTTTTGCATGGGATTTGCATGGGGAGGAGGGTCTCCTAATAAATGCTGAGCACTTTGAACTGTGAAGAAAACTTAATGGCAATCTTCAAGGTATCAGCAAGTTAGGAGGTTTTCTAGTCTAGCCCTCTGCTCAATGGTTGTCCAATGTCTTCTTTAAAAACTCCAGCGATGAAGCTCCCACAACTTCTGAAGGCAAACCGTTCCAATTGCTCTAAGTGTCAGGAAATTTCTCCTTAAGTCTAGGTTGCTCCTCTCTTTGATTAGTCTCCATCCATTGCTTTTTGTCCTGCCTTCAGGTGCTTTGAAGAATAGATTGCCCCCCCCTTCTTTGTGGCAGTCCCTCATATATTGGAACACTGCTATCATGTCGCCGCTAGTCCTTCTTTTCATTAGATGCCCAATTCCTGTAACTGTTCTTCATATGTTTTAGCGTACAGTGCCCTAATCATCTTTGTTGCTCTTCTTGCGCTCTTTCTAGAGTCTCAACATCATTTTTATATATTGGCAACTAAAACTGGATGGAATATTCCAAGTATGGTCTTACAGTGTTTATCCTCCCTCTTAAAAGAACTTAAGTTCTGGGAGTGTAACCTTCTTTCCTCATTGGACAAGGTAAAATGGCTTGAAGAAAGGGTTTCTACAATGTAATATAGCAATACCATTTCACAGTGCTTTACAACCCACTCTAAGCGGTTGAGAGAGCCAGCATATTGCCCCCAACAATCTGGGTCATCATTTTATCAACCTCGGAAGGATGCAAGGCTGAATCCTTGAGCCAATGAGAATCAAACTGCTGGCAGTTGGCAGTATTAGCCTACAATACTGCATTCTAACCACTGCACCACCATGGAATATACCAGGGAACAGAAGGCCTCCTGGAAAGGATAGGTAAATCTATTCAGGAGGGACAGAAAAGGAAAGCAAATGCCAGAGAAGAGAGAATAAAAAGTGGAAGAGCATAAATCAGAGGAGCAAAAGGATTAAGAAGCATTCATTGCAGATACAGTCAGTTTTGGCTTTCTTGACCATGCACTACTACATGAGGGACTCCTGGCAAGAGATGGGGCTACATCTCACAAATATTGGGAAGAATGCATTTGGCTTGTGCCTCACCAATCTCATCAGAAAAGTGTTAAAGTACAACAAAAAGTGTCAAAAGTCCAGGAACAAATATAGCACCAAACCACAACACAAGCAAGTATGATGTCATACGCATCAGTAAAATGCAGTGAGAGGACACACATGAGTAGACCATAGCCATGGAATGCTACAATTTATTGAAAAGGAACATTCTACAGAAAAGTGGGAAGTGTTGGGCTTTACATAAACAAAGTATATACCAGCATAGAAATTCACTAATTCATGAAACCCTGTTGAGAGTAATCAGATTAAAATAAAAGGAAATAAAAACTTCTGGAATTTATTATAGTCTTTCAGGGTAAGCAGAAGATATGGATGACCCAACTTTCAAAGCAGCATTCAAGAATGACACTGGGAGATTTCAGCTAGTCTGAAGTCCAGGGGTGTCCACAGCATATGGTAAAAGATGCCACTATTGAAACTCCATTTATTTCTTATGTGCACAATACAAGCAACTCACATTAAAAATGGGATGAGCTTCAGTTGCACCATTACGGCTGCCATCTTTATTCTTTTTTTACACCTTGTGGACACCCCTGCTGACATCTGCTGGAAATCTATATCTTTCAAGAGCCAGAGGTCCAATGTACTCCTTTTCTGTCTTGCTGAATACACAATTTATCAGAAGGTGGAAGAGAAAGGAAGGTATCAGTAAGGACCTAATCCTTATCAGAGAGAAATTGGCCAAAGAAGATAATGAGCATTGTGAGAAAGTGATCTTGTTATCCTTAGTTTCTGATACTAAAGAAAATAGTGAAGAGTCATATTCGAATAAAGGAAAATTTATTTCTGTGCTTGTCTTTTATATTGGGCAAGGTCCTTAAGCAGATTATTAAACAGCATTGTTGTGAACACTTGGACTGTAATGCAACAATTAACAAGAGCCAGCATGGATTTGTCACAAACATGTTATGCCAGAATCTCCTTTATTGACAGATTTATTAGCCTAAAAGCCTGGGGGAATACTATGGACGCAGTATACCTGGACTTCAACAAAGAATTTAATAAAATCTCTCAATGTATTCCTATTAATACAGTAGTAAAAGAACAGCTAGATGATAAAACTAGCTCCATAACTGGCTGAATGACCACTCCCAATGGATGTTTTTCAATGGCACCACATTAGTTTGGCAAGTAGGATCAACAGAAATGTCACGGGCTCTCTCCTGGTTCTTCTGCTGTCTACCTGTTTATCAGTGATATAAATTGAACGGCGATGATCAAAATTTTAGATAACTAAAATTTTTAAAAACTAGGAGGGGTTGCTGATGTTTTGAAAAAGAAAAAGAAGATTTAAAAAATCTAAGTAATCTTGAACAACAGGCTGAAACAACCTGGATAATTTTTTTTAAAAAAAAACAAATTTTATTGGTTTTTTAAGTTCTTAAAGCAACATATTCAGGACACACCGTGGTGTTGGGGTAATCAAACATCTTAAAACAAGACATATATACATAATATAATCAATACGTCAAATATTCCCTCTCTTTTTCCCTCAAATAACATAATATATTTAGAATATCCAATTCTAGCTTAAATTTATTCAACCTGAACCTGTTTTTAAGCTTCATCAATTTCTACCATAATCAAATTAACTTTAAATAAAAACATTTTCAATTCAAATATCCCTTCCACATATGTTCTACTTTCTTAATTTTATCAAAATCTTATTTGTTTCTTCTTCTATTACTCTCCCTTATTTAGAGTAAAATATTAATCTATCCTGTACCTATCAAATCTATCAATTGATCTATCTCTTCAAGCTAAAAAAAAATCATACCTTAAATCATGTCATTCTATTAAACAAAATTCAAATCTCCAATTAATTATCATGACTAATAACGTCCATATCATCAGAAAATCATATCATCATTAAATTTCAATTAACTATTAGTTCACTTCCAATCTGAAACATCTCTTCAATTTTCGTCATTCCATTACATCATCATTTTCATAGAAATAAACCTAACATTCTAAAAGGAACATTCCTAATATTCTAAATTGACTTTAACTCCTTATATAGAAAGATATCTCGTTTTTAAACAAAAATATTCATCTATCCTAGACACATCTAAATGTATGTATTTATCAAACTATTCTATAGATATCTAATCCTTCACTTAATCAATCTATCTTTGAATTAACAAATTAATACTGGATAAAATTTAATAGAGAGAAACCAAAGCCCTGCACTTGAGAGAATGAGATAAAAAGAAAGACAAAAGTTTAAGAATGGGGAGGTATGGCTTAATAATAGTACAGGTAAAAAAAGATCTGGATGTTTCAGAATATCAGTAGGGAACATGAGCCAACAGTCTGATGCAGCTGCTATAAAGGTAAATCCTTTGTTGGGATGTATTAACAGGATCATGGAGTTCAGATCACAAGAAGTAATGGTCTCACTCTACTCTGTCCCGATTGGGCTTCACTTGCAAACTGGCCACTACAGTTTATACTGTAAAGAAATCGATAAAACTTAAGTGAGTTTAGAAGAATCAAGGTGACTGGAAAATAAATTATATGAGGAACAATTAAAGGTTCTGTCTATTCTCTAGAAGAGACAATTGATGGGAGATGTGGCCACAGCTGTCACTTATCTAAAGTATTGTCATGTAGAAGAGGGAATGAACTTTTGCTCTTTTGTTCCAGAAGGCTGGACCAGAAACAATGGGCTGAAACATTGATTCAGATTAGATATTAGGAGAAATTTGCTGATAAGAGCTTTTGCCTAGTGGAATAGGTTGTCTAATAAAGTGGTGATTTCCCCTTCCCTGGAAAGGTTTCCTCAGAGAGGCTAAATAACTCTTGTCCAAACTTTTTCACAGAATTTGCAATGATCAATGCCTTTGTGACCTTTAAGGTCATTTTCAATTATATGTTTCTATAATTCCATAATATATGAATGAATTTCACTGTATCGCTTAAATGACAAAACCCCGTTTTTCAAGTTGTCTGGTTCTCTTTGCAGCAGCAATCATTCTATACCAGGGGTGTCAAACTCAGTTTCACTGAGAGCCACATCAGCATTGTAGTTGCCCTTGGGGGGCCGGGTGGGTGTGGCCAGAGTGGGTACAGCCTACTGGGTGGGTATAGATGGAGTGGGTGTGGCCTACTGGATGGGCATGGCCAGTTCTACATCATTCGCGTCAAGGGTGCCTGTGGGGGCCTGGGCAGGAGTGGGACAGATCTGAGGGTCTCTGGCAGAAGAGGGTGGGACCGGGGCAAGTGCCAAGGCATGGTCCACCAGGGCAAGTGCCAAGATGGCCACCACAAAATTATACATTGGCTTCCAGCTGGCCTGGGCCAGGGCCAAGGCAGCGGGGGCCGTTCCCTTACTGTTTCCAGGATGGCTTCGTGAGCTACATGAAACCACTTCGCGGGCCTCATCCGACCCCCGGGCCTTGTGTTTGACATGTCTGTTCTGTACTCTCCAAGACTGGACAAAAGTATTACACTGTCTGAAGCACAGCAATCAATGATATACCTGAAACACCACC